CAAGCACAGGAAAAAATAACAGATTCCCATTTTTGGATATTTTAGGGTATTTAAAGAATTACTACCCACAAAAATCCCAAATTTGGAAGAGTGAGACAAGTCCCAATCAGGGAACTTGTTTGGGAATTTCCTGGTTGGGACTTGTCTCACTTTGCCAAATTTGGGATTTTTAAGGGTATTCTTTAAGTATCCTAAAATATCCAAAAATTTATTCATTTTAGCACACTGTTTTTCTCTGTAGTGGCTTCCTTGCTGAGCACATGGATTTGAGGCATTTTCTTACAATTGGCATGATCTTAAGTGGGCTGTTGACTATTGCATTTGGGATGGGTTATGTGTGGAACATTCACTACTTTGCGTATTTTGTCACTGTCCAGGTACCTATGATATTTTTTCTTATGTGTTACCTACTATGTGCCATACCCAGATATTTTTACAAGACTTTCATTTATACTTTGCTAATACTGCCTCCGGTTCGCTAATTTTTTTTTTTTAACTTCTGTTTCTGTCATTTCTTTCTATTGGACCTACTATATAGTATGGAAAATCCAAATAATATTGTGGATTTTGATTATTGTTTGATAAAACAGCATATTGCACTGTTTGTTCTGAATTCATTACTACTGATCAATAACATAATAGGTAATTATTATTATTATGTGGGCAAAACAAACTCTACCTGATGCAGTAAGCTGCCACTTTGAGTTTCTGTGATGTCAGAAATGCTGTAAATCTATCAATATTTCATATTTTGAACAAGCCTACTGAAGCAGAATTTTAATAAAAGTTTTTTTATCCTGCTAAAGCAATGTGTTCCAAACTAATCCAAAATCATTCTTAAATAGTAAATGATAACTGAGCATGCCAAGTATTTTTACCGTAAATTAGTAAATGCAATGGTATTTAAGCAATAGAAAACGTTTTCCGTGTTTGCATAGCCTGATATAAACATGAGAGGGGTTGGAAGAATTCTCGACAGTTATGCAAACCCTCGACTTCGTCTCGGGTTGCATAACTGTCTCGAATTCTCCCAACGCCTTGAGTGTTTATATCAGGATATGCAAACACAGGAAAAAAGTTTTCTATTGGTTTTATAAAATAAACTGCCCGCGAAAAAACGAAAAACTCTTTGTAAGGCACTGATTAAAAGAGAAATTCTTACTAGTCGCAAAATCTTGTCCACGAAGTCTTGAACGCGTAATCAGTTCTTGTTTTGCAAAAAGATGCTTTGCAAAATACGGATTTTTCTGGCTTAAAATGTCAACTTAAGCAAAGAAAAATTGACTCACCTTCTTTGTAACGATTTTCCATGTTTCAGCCGACGAAGGAATGGGTAAATAAAGTAAACTTGTCGAGTTTTGAAGTTGAAACCTTTTTCAAATTCGTGCTTGCGTGATTAGCGCGCGAAAAGCCAAACAACTTGACGCCGCAACCATGTTTACATACTCTCATGCAAACACTCCTCTTGGCCAATCAGAGCATGCGTACTATCTTAGTTATTTTATAAAAAATAATAATATATATATATTTTTTATTTTCAGGTATTTTCAGGTTTTTTTCAGGTGAGCAAAAAAGATTACCATGTCATATAGTGAGTCTATTGCCAGTAATATAGTTAGCATATAAACAGAATGTATAACCATCAGTTTTTTTTCTTCTGGGCTGGGTTGGTCAAAGCTGGGTTAAGACAACCCAGGGTAAGTGCAAAATTTGAATTCAAATACAAAGGTTTAAAAAGTAAATTAAGTTTAATTCATTTTGTTTAGGATTTGATGATTGGAAGCTCTAAAAAGAATAGAGAAAATTATCCTAGAAAATAAATTTGAACAAAATAAAAATAAGCCCAGATTGAAACTTAACCCCAGGTTAGTGCTGGTAGGCCTTTGAACAACTGGGGCGGGAAGTCTTTGTTTTCTAATGTGATGATACTTCCTTTCTTATCCCTGTAGAGCTCTGGCTGGCCCAGTGTTGTAGAATGTGTTGGAAATTGGTTTGGAAAAGGACGGTAGGCTCAACTTTTTTCTTTGCTTTTCTATTTGTTGCTTGGCGTACACTTTATACAAGTGGCAGAACAAATCATAAACCAGTCATCATTTTTTCATGTTTTCTGAACACTTTCACAGCAACATTTTGTGAATGACATTAAGTCAAGCTGCAGCATGTGTTTGTTAATCAGAAAATTTATTTTAAGAAAGAGCAAAGTTAACATTGTTAAGGAGGGAATTTCACTTTTCTGCATGTGAGACCCTTTTTATTAACCACTTATTTCATATTGAAATTGTAAGTTTGTAATATTACTATTACTACTTAATCAATTCAGGCGTGGCTTGATAATGGGAATATGGAATTCTCACACATCAGTTGGCAACATTTTGGGATCTGCAATAGCTGGTATATGGGCCAGCAATCAGTGGTAAGAGCTCACAACTATTTTACATTTTGCAATGTGCAAAACCATTTGCTTCTTGTTTCTTATAGCTTGTTGTGTTAATTCTGAGGTTTTTGTCTTGACAGGGGGTATTCATTCATTGTCCCAGGATGTATAATTAGTGGAATGGCAGTCATTATATTCCTTTTCCTTGTAGTAGGTGAGTATTATGTCACACTAAAGAGATCAAAATTCAACCTTGTTGTAATTAAGTAACTAACGAAAGACAAGTGAAAAATAGTTAATGATAATAGTATTATTGAATGAGGCTGAGTATGATTTGAAGAATAAGAACAACAGGTTCTGAGATCTGTATAACTCTTCACAACATATGAAAGCTGAATTCAATAGTTTTGTTATTCATTCACACTATTTCTAAATTCTTAACAACATTACCTCCTTGAAGACTTTCTTTAAAACATTGGCCTGTATCTCGGCACTGTTTCAAGATATAAACAGATGTTTTTTCTTGCAGATTCTCCTCAAAGAGTAACATACATCAAGCAATATGTTTTGCATATTCTTGCATTTCTTCCTTTCAGTTTTAGTCAAAAATTCTTCCATTTCATCTCTGCATAGTAATGAAGACAATGTTTTTTAGTTCACTTGGGAATAAACAGATAGGCTGCTAGGCTGCTAGGCTGCTGCCTGGAAACAAGATTAATAGAGAGGAGAGGTCGTTATGTCACGTCGCCATGGTAACAAAATTTCTGGATGACAACAAACCGAAAACGTCACTTAAGTGCATTTGCATTGTTTCGTATTCAGTTTCAATTAATTTGTCAAATGTTGGCTAAATTTTCTGTGGTTTAACCCGAAAGGACTCTATTTAGGTTTAAAAAAATCAAAAAAAATTCTGTTTTGTTTACCTACTTTATAAGGCGGACGCGTGAAATCAGCCAGTTTCACGCCGTAGTCGTGCTACGACGGCTAAGAAATGTACAAAAAAGCATAATGCACGTGCAAAGTTGTTGTTTGCTATCTACACTTATTGCTTTTTTGCCAATCTCGTTGCCGTTGCCATCGTCGTTGCTTAAGGTGGCTCGATACAGTTTTTCAGGGTCAATACCTCCCAAGTTTGAGCATAAACTACGTCGCAATAAACAAAGTTTTGGAAAAATTGCCACCACAGTTGTATTAGATAAAGATGAAAATTTGTTATGATCAGGGTTGTAACGGCATCGGAGTTGTCATTGCAACGAAATGACGCTATTACCTATTTTACTTGCAGCAGTATATCTCGGCACTGGGAACTGTTCTTCCAAAATCGTTCACGGGAGCTTTTTCCTCCAAAAGCTGTCTCGATGATCGTGAAGTTTAAGCGAAATCTGTAAGAGCGTTATCGAAATATTTTGGGACGAAGTTTTTATGGTTAGAAACACAGTAAAAATTTTGCTACCATGGTAACGTGAACGTCACACTCTTCCTCTGTATTGATGGGTTATTAGGCATTAGTAAAATCCAACTAGTGGTCTATTAACAATGCTGCGTTCTCATTGGTTGAGCTACTACTAGGCTATATGTATAACCCCCTGGTAGCGAAAAGCGCCGGCTTTTTGGCGGCAAAAAAGGATTAAAGTCTAGCTTTAACTAGCTAAATTTTTTTTATTCTCGATATTTTTGACCAACTAGTTGGATTTTACTAAAACAATTATTCCTCTCGCCCTCATGGCCTTTAAGTCAATAGCCCATGAGGCCTCATTGACTCAAAGCCCATTCGGGCTCGAGGAATAATTGTTAAAGAACCCATCAAATTGATGGGTTATTGCCTACATCGTCCAAATATGGTAAGCAACAGCTTACCATGAAGATTCGACAAAGTTGAATCATGCTGGATTGAAATTAGGCGTGAAAAACTAAAGAAAATCGTTATCGATTGTATCTATCGGCACCCATCAAACGACCGTGAGCATTTCCTTGAAACCCTAAAGCAGCGATTAGACAAATTAAACAATAAAGGAAAAAGAAATATTCATCGTAGATGACATTAATATAGACTTCCTGAAATACAACAATGATAATCAAACCTCCGAATATTTCGATATGTTGCTCAACTGTGGATTTTTGCCTTTGATCACCAAACCCAAACGCCTCACTGATCATTCCTCAACAATTATTGATCACTTTTATTCAAATGTATTCCACAAAGTCATAAATGCGGGAATCTGCTTAGCTGATGTTTTCGGACCATCTATCAATATTTTGTACAGTCGCAAATGAGCTGCCTGTGTCAAACGAAGCAAAATATTTTCGCTATTTTTCTCATTTTGACAGTGATTCATTTTTAAGAGATGTAGAGGCTATCGAGTTCTCTGGCCTAGTAAATGATGACGTTAATGAAAGTACCGGTATTAGCAACGTAGTTGACATACTACAAAAAATTTCTGATAAACACGCACCTAAGCGCAGCTTAAATAGCAAAAAGAAAAGACCGTTAAATAAGCCTTGGATTTCCAATGCCATTGCCACTTCAATCAAACGGAAACAAAGACTCTTCAAATCTCACTTTCTAAGCCGAGATCCGGAAAAAAATTAAGATTTACAAAGTGTTCAATAATAGACTAAATAGAATTATTTCACGGCGCAATTTAACCTTAATAGTGAGACCTTAAAAAGAACTTGGAAGCTTATCGGTTTGCTCATAAACAGGAAAAAGGGTAGCACCCCGCCAGTAATAACCAAAGTCATCTATAATGGTGCTTCCTACACAAATAGGAAGAATATTGCCCGTCAGTTTTAAATACGCATTTCATAAATGTTGGTAGTAATCTTTCTGCAAAGCTCCCGCCGAGCGATATAAATCAGACAGTTTTGCATTTCGTGGAATCTACGCACATGAAGTTCAAGATACGATAATGAGACTAAATCTGAACGAATCTTCCATAGGGGTTCCCCCAAGATGTATGAAACTAGCATACCTTTTTATGAGGCACTTCCAGCAATCTATAATCAGTCTTAACAACAAGGAACCGTCCCAGATATAGTTAAAATATTAAAAAATAACTCCTATTGAGAAGGGGGGGCGACGCAACCGACCCTGCGAATTATCGACCAATTGCAAGTCTATCAGTTCTTTCTCAAGTATTTGAAAAATTGATATTCAAGCAACATAGTAACTTTATAGAAAAGCACAATATTCTGTTTGGATATGGATTTCGTACAGGTCACTCAATATCTCAGGCCATAACTGAACTCACTGACACTCTAAGGAAGGCCATTGAGAGGAACCTATACACCTGTGCTGTTTTACTAGATTTCTCCAAGGCATTCGGTACTGTAAATGACGAAATTTTGTTCAAAAAACTAGAAGCATACGGTATTAGAGGTCTCCCTTTAAAATGGTTCAGTAGCTACCTAACAAACAGGTAACAGTAAACTGCACTAGGAGACACAAACTATGAGCTGTGGAATATCCCAGGATAGCACACTAGGACCATTACTGTTTCCTATTTATATAAACGGCTTACCCAACTGCTCCGATAAGTTAAGTTTCAAAATTTTTGCTGATGATACCAACGTATTCACCTCGACGAATAATCTTAAAAGCCTTAAAACTCATGTGGACCCTGAACTTGAGAAGGTGAAAGAATGGTGTGATGAAAATAAACTGTCAATAAATACGGCAAAAACTAATTTAATTTATGATAATTTAGTCCACTAAAAAAGGATATGTCAGTGAATATTCAGATTAGAAACAAGGATGGAACGTACTACTCTTTGGTTCGCAAGGACCATATTAAATGTTTAGGGGTAATGATTGATGATTTTTTCTCATGGAAATATGATATCTCATATATTCGCTCACGAATTTCCAGAAATATCAGGATTATATCAAAATTAAGGCACT